AGAAATATTGGGGGAATACATATGTGAATACCATAAACCCTCCAAACCTATTACAGAAGAAAGTGATACGAATGATTCAAAACATTAAATATAGAGAAGATACAAATAAATTGTTTATAAAATCGAAATTATTGAAATTAGGACATTTAGTGAAACTAAAGCTTTTAAGAGTACAAAAAAATTGGGTCAAAATTTGGGGCGAACTGACTTGTGGAGGTTGAGAAAGTGTCCGGAGCATTGCAACAAAAGGTGAAACAAAAACACACACAGGCAGAGAAAGACAGCTTTTAAGGAAATGCTTTTTTGGGGGAAAGGAGAGAAGAGGCTTTGCTGAATCTGCACCTCCCTGAACCTGCCTACAAACGCACACACATGCAATGAAAATCTGCTGACACACAGAATATTTCTCAGCAGTATTAAAGCAGGGAAACTTGACATGCACTTGTTTTTAAAAGGTTTTTATTAGTTTTTCTGTTTTCACAAATAGTACATAATTACATAACATACTAAAGTGTACAATTCAGAACCAAAAATAAACAAACAAAAACAAACAAACAAAAAGACTAAGCACAAAACAGCAGCTCCGTTCCATCTAAACAAATAAAATAAATAAAGAGAGAAAACACAATTCAGCCACAAACCCGGCCTGAGTGTTTTACTGATGTTTAACCTATAATTCTCTTCTGACTGCTGCGTGTGGAAAATTGATCCAGGTCTGCTCTTCACCTGCACGTGATACAGTGAGAGACATTTCCATCGTTAATCACTGCTTTAACAACACACATCTCCTCTCTCTGGTTTCTGAACTCTCCTTTCTTAAAAACAGGAAGTGAGATGGTATTTGTTTTAGGCTGAGAGACACCAAACATTCTTCATATCATCATTATTGTTGTTTTCATCAACAACAACACAACTATTGTGTGTCTTTTGTGTCCACTAGGGTAGATGGTGACCTGCAGTATCACCCTCAGCCCCGTATGGAGGCGATTGTCACACACACAGTGACATCAGACATTCATCTGCTTTGTGCACAATCTCACTCCTTTCCTTTCTTCAGTGATCTACATACCACGTGCTGCTCGGTGAATACGTTTCAATGTATTCTA